AAAAAAATATTTGTATATCCACCCAAATTTTACCATGTCCCTCTGGCCACATTCCCTTCAAACTCTTCTATAACTTTCTGTGAAAGACAGCAAAACAGAAAAAATGCATCAGTGGACACAACAACATGGCACAGACAGTGGTCACAGCACCAGAAACCTTACCTGCTGTGGTGGAACACCCATTTCTGCTAAGGCTGACTCAAAAAACATTTTTGATGGTTTTCCCACTACCTCAGCTTGAACATCACAAGCATACTGGAAAAAAAGAGGGAGACACGCACACAACATGCTCATCAGAAAAGGATTTGTTCAACTCCTTCACTCCAGTCACTCATATAAAAAGTATGTGATTGTTGATTTCTGCCCTTAAATAACACAATGGATTAGCAGGTGAAGGTGAATATCAGAGAATTTGGATAACAGAAATGTTTAATGTTCTCTGGCAGGAGAGAAAGTCCTCCTGAAACATCTCAAGGTACATTCTCCATCATGAGAACAGACTTCAGACTCACTCCCAGTATTGTTCATTTTTGTAAGAGCATCACTCTAAAAGAAATAGCAAATATCATAGAATCATAGAATCCCAGACTGGTTTGGGTTGGAAGGGACCTTAAAGATCATCCAGTTCCAACCCCCCTGCCAGCAGCAGGGACACCTTCCACTAGACCAGGTTGCTCAAAGCCTCATCCAACCTGGCCTTCAACACTTCCAGGGAGGAGCAGACACAGCTTCTCTGGGCAACCTGGGACAGTGTCTGACCACCCTCACAGTGAAGAACTTCTTCCTCATATCTCATCTAAACCTCCCCTCTTTCAGCTTAAACCCATTTCCCCTTGTTTTGTCATTAATTGCCCTTATGAAAAGTCCCTCCCCAGCTTTCTTGTAGCCCCTTCAGGTACTGGGACTATAAGATCTCCCCGGAGCCTTCTCTTCTCCAGGCTGAACAGCCCCAACTCTCTCAGCCTGTCCTCACAGCAGAGCTGCTCCAGCCCTCGGATCATCCTGGTGGCCTCCTCTGGACTTGTTCTAGCTGCTCCACGTCTTTCTCATGTTGGGGGCTCCAGAACTGGACGCAGTATTCCAGGTGGGGCCTAATATCCTTCATATGAAATGATCAAAAGTACTTGAGGGCCTTAAAAGATGTAGGGGGTTTCTTCAACCACTCAACATATTTTAAATGATTCAAGTGACCAGCCAGATTCAATATCCTTCATATGAAATGATCAAAAGTACTCGAGGGCCTTAAAAGATGTAGAGGGTTTCTTCAACCACTTGACATATTTTAAATGATTCAAGTGACCAGTCATATTCAAAAAAGTTTTGTTTTCCTGCAACTAAGTATCAGTACTATGCCGAAAAAGGGTTTTTTTCTAGCTTGTTCCTAGACAACTAGAAGCTTGAACTTATCTGGGAGGCAAAAAATGACCCCAAAACTCACCTAGATACAAATGAATGTGCTGCAAACAGACACTATAACCAGTAGTTTCTGTGCCTGTATAATACCCTAATTTGCTTTATTCTCTGCATTCACAATGTTGTATTTTTTTTTAATCTCTCAGCAAGCTTATAAAAGGGAAAATAATGACTCTCTCCTCCTCTCACCCTTAGGTTGGCTTATCTAGTGGGTTCCAGTTCTGCACAGACTTAATCAGGCTTAAAAACAGGATTGCACTTAAGTACCTTGCTGAATAAGGGTCTTTAGCTATCAACTGTTAAGGGCAAGGGCTGTGTTAACAACACTGCATCAAACATAAAACGGACTTTCGGTTTTTCTTGGGTATCTTGCAGACAATATTCCATGGTTTTTGGGGTTTTTTTCCTGACTCCTTCTTTCAAGGGGCCTCACTTCCAATAAAAGTACCACAATGGTAAAAGTTCACATTTGAAATAAATTTTTTAAAATTAACAAAGCCAGAAAACAAATGAATCCACCTGTCTTTAGAATGCAGCAAAGGAGTTTCAATCTGTGGAAATTTCCTCCACCAAGGTGAGTAATTATATAAGATGACCCATATTTATACCAGTTACTCTTTTAACAAGGTGCACAGAGCGAGTAAACATAATGCAAGCTATAAAATACCTCTAATGCCTTCATATATGCTCCAACATCAAGTTTCAGACCATCAGTTTCTTTATAGTAGCGTCTGGAAATGAAAGTGATAAAGTTCCAATGAAATGGAAATGTTGGCAGTTAAATACAAAGAAACCACCTTTTATTATTTCAGTGCCTATACAGATGTCCATATGGCTGCAACAAAAAGTCAAGTCATCAGAAACTCTGGAGCTTTAATTTAACACCAGGAATTAAGTAAAGGGCAGGACTCAGTACCGTGCAATGCTGGGGAAAAGATCTCAGACCAGATGCCCATCTGGCTTCTAGGACACAACTCCACTGGTTCAAAGAGATTTCAACTGGTTTATATCAAGGATGAACTGGACCTGTATTTTATGGCATGGAGTGTTAGCTGCTCGCAAAGGACAGTGGTTATATTGCTCTTCCTTTCATCAGTGATGGAAGCCCCTGGCAGATAGAAGATGAGGGCTGGCACCAACCAGCAGCTCTAACACCTTCTTTATCTCTGGAAGTGGATAGAATCATAGAATCATAGAATCATAGAAGCATAGAATCATAGAATCATAGAATCATAGACTGGTTTGGGTTGGAAGGGACCTTAAAGCTCATCCAGTTCCAACCCCCCTGCCACCAGCAGGGACATCTTCCACTAGACCAGGATCCCAAACAGTTGACCATCATTGCTCATCACCAGCCTCCCACACAAGGAAAGCCAGAGCACCATTTATTGGGACTAAGAAAGCCCTCCAAGTTAACTTGTGCTCCTTCTAAAAATGTTCCTATTGCCATGGAGCTCATCAAATTAATTAATAAATCTACAGTGTTTTTCTGCAATAGCAATTCACACTAACGCAGGTTTTCCAAGCTCTCCTGATCAGAGCAGTGACAGGTTTCTATATGACAAGAAAAAAGGCAGGATGAGCAGTCAGTTAAGATTTTTTGCTTTATCCTTCTGCCATTTTCGATTATTCAGCACAGCCTTCCTTTCAAATGACCACTTGACCTTTGCTAGAACAGCCATTAACCTTCTATAGTCTAGCGTAAACAGCTTAATTTTCTGACAGTGGCATGACAGAAGAAATTACAAAGCCAATTCCCACTCTCAGCCCAAAACAGATGCTAAATGTAAATCACTCCATTTTCAAGAGGAGGACATTCTGCTTCAGTGACTCTGACACTTTTGTTTTCTACAGAATTAACTAAAACTTCAACCAAAATCAACCTCGTTGCCCAAGGTAGGCTCCTTGTTAAGGTCCACCCAATTACACTGATTCTGCACATTAAAAATGAAGCTGGCTTGTGGCTGGTTTTTGTACACAGCCCCTTGCATCAATGAAGCTTCTCTAGTTTGGTGAACAATTAATTCAATTTATAATCTCCCTGCTTTGAGTCAGAGAACCTATCTACCCGGGGAAACTCAGTCAGAACTCACGTTCACATCACCTAAATGATCCATTATTAAAAAAAAGTGCTCACGGTGAAAACTGAGCTCAGAATATGCAAAAATGTGTGTTTTAAAATGGAAAATAACATTTCTAAAAAATAACAGTGGGTCTGCTTTAGAGCTGTCTGCATCAATGAGTGACCAAATAAACGGATAATTTCATATAAAGGCATTTCTGCATGGATCATGTTGCAAATCTTAAAATAAAAAGGTTGATTCTCTATTTGGTTTTGAAAGATGATATTGCATAACACAAAACTTGCTTATTTTACGTGCATTAGCCATTCTGCTGTTGGTTCAATGTTTTCTCCTGATCCTTCTGAGGAACAGTAAGGATTTTTCACCCATGTTGTAGGATCAGAGCGTGTCAGGTCTGGCAACACAATGGATTTTCCTGCTGAGAAGTTCTACCCGGCTGGATCAATAACCCATGAACTAAGAAAGCTTTTCATGGCCATTATGGTCTATTGAACGACTGAAAAAAGTTGTCACTATGGTTTCCTCAAGCTAAACATGCATAGTCTTTTTTCAGCCCATACATCACACAACAGATATAAATAACTCCTTCAAGGCCATTGGGATTTGTCATTATTCAGCGCTGGCATGAATAACCTCCTGTTTAGAATCTCAGAATACATCTAACTGCATTGTTTTTAAGGAAAACATCCGAATTCCCTGACTGGATTTTTTCCTGTATGTGTAAGCAGAAGGTCAAAATTTACTTTTAATGTTCAGAGAATAATGAAAAATGTCTTTTGATATTCAAACTATCAAAACAATTGATCTGTCACTTCAAAAGCACAGTTGTGTTTGCAGGTCTTCACCAACCCAGCCATGTCTCTTGGGCTCTCTCCTTAGTTCTTCTCAGCCACCACACAGCCAGAGGAACATCTACTCCCATCTCCAATGCAGTCTAGGTGGAGTTTGTGTATTGCAGCTACTTTCATAAATTGGTAGGGTTTCTATATTAACAAATAAAACTCTCCTGGTTTCTTATTCCTCAGGTACAGCAATCCTCAAGCCACCAACATGAAGTGCTCCCTTGTGTATGACATCTTCACACACATTAATCAACCTGCAGAGATGCTAATGCCACTTTTCAGAGAGGGCATCTTTAAGTACCACTCAAAGAGCAAGGAGTCATTTATGCCACCATGGCCAGTAGCAACACCCAGTATCACACCTCAACCACTATAAATGTTGGCAGGATGCAACCCTGGAAGAAGAACTGTTGGCTGAAACAGAATATTTGGACCACCTCATCATAGAATCATAGAATCATAGAATCATAGAATCATAGAATCATAGAATCATAGAATCATAGAATCACAGAATGATTTGGATTGGAAGGGACCTTAAAGCTCATCCAGTTCCAACCCCCCTGCCAGCAGCAGGGACACCTTCCACTAGACCAGGTTGCTCAAAGCCTCATCCAGCCTGGCCTTGAACACTTCCAGGGACTGTTAGCCACAGCTTCTCTGGGCAACCTGGGACACTGTCTCACCACCCTCACAGTGAAGAACTTCTTCCTAATATCTAATCTAAACCTGTCCTCTTCTCACCACTAGTAACTTCAGGATGCTGTAAGATCAAATGGCATCACAAATCCACACCAACAGCCCTTTATCCAAGCATGGCCTGTTGGATTTTGTTTGTTTCGGTTTCTTTCACTATTAAAAATGATTTATTCTCAGTTCAGACAGGAACACATGGCTACAGGCAGCGATTAAACCAATAATTCTCACCCCTGAGATCTTGCAGAGTCAAAGATAAAAAGACAAGTAGTGCCTCTAATCCTACTGGCCTCTTGCAATACTCATTCACTTGGGGGTTGCACACATCAAAATCCAAACTCTCATGATTCCTATGGTTTTTTGAAGAGGTTCTCAGACTTGCTCTTAAAGCAAAAAATGTCCTTTCTCTAGTGGTTTACAAATAGCTTACAGCTATTTAACCCTCCCACCACCACCTGCAAAGATGTGGATTGTTTCATCAAGGTCTACCTTGTTCTTGAACACTGATTTTGAAGAGTGGGAGCCTGGTATTTGCTGTGCTTATACACCACGGTGTCTCCAGGTTCTCTAAAGGCTGCTACAATTCCTCCTCAGAGGAGCAGCTACATTTCTCACCCTCTAGCACTTGATGGAAAACACCCACACAACTGCTTACTCTGCAGTGTCTGCTGAAAAAAGACCAACAGCTGAAATTAAAGGGGTGCTTCACCCAGTGCTGTAACACCACAGACACCCTACTGATGAGTATTTGCAACGTCAACAGGAGAATTTGGCATGGCAAGTTCAGTGACTTCCAGTGCCCTCTGCAATCCTGCATCAGCACAGGGCTCAACTGTGGCTCATGGGGAGCACCCACACCACCTCCTTTTAGAGACCTGTATCAGTGTAATCACCTCAGTTTTCTCTTACACCCCTGGAAAGACTATAAGGAAGTGGTTGAGGACAGGAGGCCAAGTTAGGTGACTGAAATACCCACTGAGGACTCTTCCATGGCAGCAGGGTTGGAACTGGATGATCTTTAAGGTACCTTCCAACCCAAACCATTCTGTGATTCTATACCTGAGCAGATCAGCCTCTCAGTCCAGACACACAGATTGACTTCTTAAAAGTTGGTACTGTGAAAGCCCACACCCATATCTGGCCTCCATGAAGTACAAAGACACTGGAGGAAAAAAAAAATATAGAGGCTTGAGAAAGAAACAGTGCTGAACTCACCCTCTTCCAAGGGAGAGCAAAACAGGCTTCTCCATCCCAATCAGAAGTCGGAAAGCTTCGTTAAGGGTTGCATAGGTGAAGTTTTCTGCTGCATCTCCAATAACCACACAGTTTGGGTTTGCTTTATCAATTTCAGCAAATTCAGGGACAAGATCTATGGAAGGAGAAAAAAAATAATAATTTCACAAAGCCCTTACCATTTCAGATCCCCCTGGAGCTGATAGTTTCCCCCAGATTTGTGTTTCCCTTCATTCATTACATAATACACTAAAAAACATTAAAAAATCCAAGTCTGAAGCAAGTGTTCTTCAGACCCTTCTATTCCTCTGTTCCTGAGTGGATCCTGCTCTTGATCTGTCCTACAACAAAGAGAAAAATAAACTGTTTCCTACCCTTGCCTTAGCTCCTGCCACCCATGTCTCAGTGGCTCATTAGAGCACCTAGACCCGAGGCAAACTCTTGGGTAGCTGAATGAGAATGTGTAACAGCAAGGACAGGATCCACCTCCTTTCTCCATACCCACATTCTACAGAACATTTTAAACTTCAGACTTCTGTCACAGAATGACAGAACCACAGCATGGTGGGGGCTGGAAAGGACCTCAGGAGATCATCCAGTCCAACCCCCCTGCCAAAGCAGGTTCCCTCCACCAGGTTGCCCAGGAAAGTGTCCAGGTGGGTTTGAACATCTCCAGAGATGGAGCCTCCCCTCCCTCTCTGGGCAGCCTGTCCCAGGCTCCGATCTGTCATGATAACAAAGGCAATGTAATGTTCTCCACAAGACCTCGCTTATCTCCTAGTCTCTGTGGTTAAGCAGCAGACTCCTCTGTGCACTTGCTGACCCCCAGCACAACTCTGTGCCTTCACCATACCACTGCCATGATGGAGATCTCACTCAGACCAGACCACTAAAGTTTATTCCACACTCTCATGACTCAGGAAAAAGCTTTTCCCTGTTGGAAAACAACAGCTGGGAGCTCTTCCCCACACGAGCTATGGGAATACACTGCTCTCCTCCAAACACCCACATCTCTGGGCTGTTCCCCTACGTGTCTCTGCATCTGCTGCAGTGTCGTCCCACCATTGTGCACGAGCAAGTGTGGCCTCAGGCTGCGTTCCTTCAAAATGCGACAGGCTGCTGGGGCTGGGGCGGTGACTTCGGCCACGGAGATGTCAAAGCTCATGCCCTGGAGCTTCTTCACAAACTTCTCCCGGGTCGCTTGGGTTTCGTTAGTGCAGAACCGCAGCTTTAGGCCAGATGCCTTGATCCTGTTGAGTGAAAGGAGCAGAGGGGTTAAGCAGACATAAAAATGATCTCAGAGTATCAGTTCTGCTATCCCACACCTACTTGGATAATTGCAATAAAAATGCAAAGATGATATTCCAGAACAGGAGCAGGGTCCCTTTCTGTGACCAAGACACATCTAAAATACCGATTCTGGGCAGTGCAGCTGCAGTTTTCATGTGCAGAGCCCCTGCCACAGCATGTAACTGCCCTTCTGGAGCACAGGGCTAAGCTGCACCCAGAGCAGTGTGGGCAGCAGGTGGAGGGAGGGGATTCTGCCCCTCTGCTCCGCTCTCCTCAGACCCCACCTGCAGTGCTGCCTCCAGTGCTGGGGCCACCAACAGCACAAGGACATGGAGCTAGTGGAGCCAGTGCAGAGGAGGCCACCAGGAGGATCCAAGGGCTGGAGCAGCTCTGCTGTGAGGACAGGCTGAGAGAGTTGGGGCTGTTCAGCCTGGAGAAGAGAAGGCTCCAGGGAGATCTTCTAGAGGCCTCTCAGTACCTGAAGGGGGCCTACAAGAAAGCTGGGGAGGGACTTTGGCCAAGGGCAGGGAGTGACGGAACAAGGGGTGATGGCTTTAAACTGCAAGAGGGGAGATGGAGATGAGATGTGAGGAAGAAATTCTTTCCTGTGAGGGTGGTGAGACACTGTCCCAGGTGGACAGAGAAGCTGTGTCTGCTCCTCCCTGGAAGTGTTGAAGGCCAGGTTGGATGAGGCTTTGAGCAACCTGGTCTAGTGGAAGGTGTCCCTGCTGATGGCAGAGGGGTTGGAACTGGATGAGCTTTAAGGTCCTTTCCAACCCAAACCAGTCTGTGATTCTATAAATGTGGCAGCACAGGTGATGCCCACCACCCGCAGGACACCACAGTCTGTCATGTCAGATACAAGCACCCTCCACACATTAAACACTTCAAAATCCAGTTCCTTTTCTTTAAACCAGTCCATGGATGAAGACACACATGACCTGAAGGCACTGCACAGCCACAAGTACAGGAGCTGGTGTGGTAGCACTGGCTATTAGCATTTGAACTTGGATTTTCACCTTTCCACTTACTGATCACCTGCTGCAGTGATCTGCTGGAGGTAACAGCAAGGCTTTGCACTTCTCCATGCTCCAGGGAAGAGGCCAGCTAGTTGCAATGATGCTTAAAACAGCACTGGGGTGGCTTCAGTTACATTTATCCCTTAATCTCTCATAAAACACCTGTGCTGTTACTTGGTGGGTAATCTTGAAAAATATGGTACTTCAACTGATTCATTAATCAATGTTCACAGGTAAATGGTTTCTGAAGGGAAGAAAAGATGGCCCCAAGTGCCCAGAGCCAAGGACATCGTTCATGTGGAGTGGTACGCTACAATCTTGTGCGACTCCTCTGCTACTGAGCAGCTTTGTTTCCCCATTCAAGCTGTGGTGACCTAATGAGGATGTCACGCAAAGATCTCTTCTCCAAGGATGAGTTGTCAGCTATTTGGAGAACCAACATATTTCAAAGTGGCCATGGAAAATGAGAAGCCTTGAAAATGTATCACAATTTAAAATATATATATATATGTATTTGCCAAAAGGACTGTCACTCAGCTCCTCAAATACATTAAAATGACTAATTATTGTCAGTTTTACTGTGAATTTGTATGTAATTATCTTTGAGGACCTAAGCTAATATAGGTTGAGATACCCAGGTAAGTTTGGGGCTAGGTTTATAAATTGATATTCAAATATTCTTACATTTCTTTGTGTTAGGAAGAAAAAGGTCTTTTCTATTAGGAAAGCCCCTGCATTGATTCTCAAGACAATAAAACATGTGGGGCTCCTTTTCTAGGGAAGATACGTTAATCGGTTGGTGTAAACACTGAAACCACCTCGAGGTGACGCATCTGATGACCAACTTCCCACCAAAGGATTCTTAGAAATCCAATCCTGACCCAGAGAGCCTCTTCTGCTCGTTAAAACTGCACGTCAGTGTCTTCTGCAATAATGCAGGTGATTCATTTCTTTCTTATTATTTGTCTTTCCTAATCATAGGTATATGAATTATCAATTACACTTAGTGGTTAATTGCCCTTCATAAAGATAGCTTTTCTATTTTAAATTAGGCAGTTAATATATTGTAACTAATAGCATCCACTTGTACATTATAAATATATCTTCATTGATTGGAGCAGTGAATGTGAGATTCACTCACGAGTTAATGAAGCAATTGAGTGAAGAAGTGCAGGGTGTACCCAGGGAATAATTATTGTTAATGAATTATGATGTGACCTTCTCAGAACAATGAACAATTGGTGTGACAGTGGGATGACAATACTCCACATCTGTTATTTGAAACACGGTTTTAGCTGTAGTTAAAAAGCAAAGCAGTGTCATTTGGATACATAACAAACTTTAATAGAGTGTGCTATGGTTAAAAAAAAATCTTATTCTAAATGCACAGCCTATCTGCACACTCTTAGGAAAAAAATTCCATGATTCATGGCTGCCTGGGAGCAGATATTTGTTGAATAAGAATCTATTCTTTCTCTTCCTAAAGGTCAACAAAAGGAATCCATGAACAACACTACCCATCAACTTGCACAGAGAAACAAATGTGCCCTCATGGGTCAGCTTGGGGAAAGCAAAGACTCAGTTTTCCTATAATACACTTTGAACTTCTCAGAATTTGAGATGAAAAACAAGAGTTACACTTCTGGAAGGTTTGATCAAAATGGAAGCAGTCTGGACACATCCTGGACTGCTTCACACCTTCGTGGTCACCAGCAGTTACCACCTCAACAAACAAGCTCAGTAAATGCTTAGCATCAGGTGAGGTCGACAAAGAATTAGGCCAAACTGGTCAGAAAATGCGAGTCCTCTGGTGAAACGTGAAAAGGATTCTCCAAAATATGCTGGAACACGAAACAAAAGAAAAATCAAAAAGAACTCCAGAGAAGATTTATTTATAAAAATATACCTTTTCAATAAAAAACCTTTTCCTTAAAATTTAGCATCTCTAAAAAGACCATCTGCTAGCTCTCCACCAAATCCTGGTGGTACAGTCACACTGACCAGTACATGCATGATTATACACACACTAGGATGAGCCCATTCCTCGATGCTCAGCATGGAGACCATGAGCAGAGCCTGCAGACCAGCACGCATCAGCAAACAGCTATTAATTCAGAACTTAAATAACAGGCAGAGCTTTTAACAGCAGCTCTGCATGGGGGAAATCCTGGCTCTGCTTGTGTTTACAGCAAAACTCTCCTTCGGTTTCCATGGACAGGTTTTGCACCAGGAGGAACTAAGAGAAGGTCTGTGTCTAACGGAGGTGAGATGCTTTGCACGGCGAGTCAATAGTGTACTGCTGCTAAACTGGCCAGCTTAACAGTGAACCTCGAGCTGCTGATCTGACCCACTGTTCATCCTTCAAGAAGCACATGCCAAACAAGTGATTGCAATTTCTAGTGCCAGCAAGTGTGGGGATGCTAGGAGAAGAATAAAGAACATTTGTAATGTGATGCCTTAACAGATAAAGAGCAAAGGATTAGATATCTGCAAGTACAGAAGAATGAAGCAACAGCAGATGAAACACACAACACACAATTTATCAAGATCTCCAGAGTATTACAGATTTATCAGCATCTATAGTACAGAAGCACAGGCACACCCAGGACAGCCAGTCAATCAGGGCTTCAGCTGACTTCCATACATCGTGGCCCTGATAAAGATCCCAGTCAGACTCCAGGAGCACTGGAAATCAATCCTGATTAGAGAGCGAGCCAAGCACACAGCCAGCCAGCACTGCTCTCCGTGCTGCAGGGACTCTGCGTGGTCAAGGTGGCTGTGGACATCCTGAGGCCACCTCTTGCTCCCCGTTTGGGGCTGTCAACAGGCTCATTGTCATCCCCCTCTACTCTGCCCTC